TTTCTATGAAGTTTCTCCCCCGAATTTAATGCACAAAATGCGTCACTCCAAAGGGAGAGATTCCATGCATATTAATAGAGTAAAACAGCATTAGGTTTCATTTTATAAGCTTCCAAAGCAAAGGATACATTTTTTTTTAGTCTACAGAACTAAATACTACAAGAATAATATGCTACTATTTTTTTTTGCCATATATTGGAAAAAACTTCTTAACTTACAAATAATACAAAAATAGACAATGGCTTTTGGGTGGAAATAAAAAAAATTGAAGCATGGTTTAAAACAATACTAAAAATAACTATAAATGAAATGTTTAAAAATCACATTGAAACAGCTAATACAAGTGTAGGTGACCAAACAAATACGCACTTTTCACATAGCAAACGTACACAATAAAATAAACTGGGGGTGGGAGGAAGAGGAAGAAGGGAAAAAGCAATGTACAAATTCCAAAGATAAATACATTATTTATATGGATATTTTACAAAATCCCCTTTAAAACAAAAAGCCTTTTAATTAACTTTGCAAGTATGTGCAAGCTAAAGGTAGTGAGCTTTTTTTTCTTTGCAAAATACGCAGTAAAATCTTTTTTGTGATATTGAAAAACCATCTTAAGACATTAAAATGTATAAATAGAACAACAACTTTGGCAAAAAAAAAATCACAAAAAAAATCTACAGTATTTATAACTACATACAAAAACATAACAGCAAAGAAAAGAGTATCAGGCAAATGCATCCTCAGAGCTTTGCTGCATCTTTGCTATTAATTCTTCCTTTTAAGAACACTTCCCAGATAATGAGAGCAAAAATTTCCATAGAACAGAAAACTATGTTTTGGAGGTTTCAACCTTCTTTTCCTTTCCCCCAGTTTCCTTTTTACTCTTGATTCCAAAGCACTTAATCTGTTGTTTTAATCTATTACATTACAAATGGTAAGGGTCGACAGATAGAGGCGCTATCTTGAATGGGAAAATCGGAAACACCTGCCATGTTGCTTTTTGTCAGCTTTTGGAGGATTGGTAATGAAGTCAGCATTTAGGATGAGCACGCTTTAAACTTGCCAATGGGGGAGTGCAAGTGAGATTTTGGCTTGCTAACTGAAGGGCAGAGTGCGGAATTCTGTGCCTAGACCCTGTTCCATGAAGTCTCAAAGGAGAATCTCACACCGTGTGTGTGCCACCAAGCTCTCTCGAGGCCATTGGCTTCAGAAGAAGTTGACTTAAGTAAAATGAGAGAATGAGATCAGATTTAAATATGCGGTTTGAACAATCTGTCTAGAGGCACTGGATTTTTGAGTAGAGGGAAAAATGTGATCACTTACATCGCTTTTTAACTTTCCAGGCTGCATTTATTTACACAGTTACTTAAGACAACAATACAAAAGAGATAAATAAGCTTGCACTGCTAAGGGATGGCGTGTTAAGTTAGATATTGAAAATGCACTGTCTTGAGCTAACTACCATTTGATATGCTTTAAGGCGCAAAAGCCGACCCTTAGTTTTCCTAAAAAATCTAACTGGCATTCCTATTCTGTCCCATACAAGCTTTTTTTTTTTTTTTTTTTTTTTTTTTTTTTTAAAATTATGTTCAATCAGGAAGAATCTTTTTTTTTTTTTTTTTTTTTTGCTTTTTTTTAAAACTTTTTTGTAAATATCACCACTTCATTCTCCTTTTACACAGCTTTAAAAACATCATAAATTAAAACATGGAGTCTTATTTATAGTGTCCCTTGTATATAGCTTTACGGTTTATAAAAGACAAATGATGGCAGAGTTAAGCTTAAAAAAAAAAAAAAAGAAAAAGAAAAACTGGATTTGCTTTTACCAATACAGAATAAATATATCCCCCAAATACTTGGGAGGTACAACTTTAACCAACACTCTGCACTTGCAGATCCCTTCCAATTTCAGTATTTGCAAGGTCGGTGATTTTGTTTGTTTAAAAATCTGCAGTTATTGTGATTCCTCTTAAAAAGGCCTGAGTTAAAAGTTCCACTCTGGGACTTATATCAGATTACTCTCTGTAGCAGAATCCAACCTCTTCATTAATAAAACTCTTCAAGGCAATTCTTTCACATGGGAGGAACAATCATGCCAGATATTGCTATGGAAAGAGAAGACAGAAGTCAATGGTTTTACATCCAAACTTCTCACTGAGAAAAAAAAAATAAGATGGGGGAAAAAAAAACACCCACACACAACTATGTTGTTTGAATATTAGCCACAAATGTGTTCTCATCTCCTCTGGAATGAGTTTTGTGTTATAAAATATACAAGTACTTTATTAAAAATTATAATAAATCAGCATGCACATGTATCCTTAACAGAACAGAATATCCTAAACATCCCTCCAAATCTGATTTCAATTTGAAAACATAACTTGAAAGTTGCATAGTTCGAATACCGCTGGGAACGTTGCAGCCCCAAACCTTGCAAAATAGTGAGGATTTTCAATTTGTCCCTCTTTTTCCCCCCTCCCCTTCACAACCAAAATATAAAATAAAGAACCGATCCATTCCAACTGCAAGCAATTTCTACCAAAAAAAAAAAAGCAAGGCTTTTCCTATGCTCTGTTTAAGCAAGAAAATAATAACAGAGCAGAAAACTAAGCACCTTCCCTTCAGTCCCTGGGCTGGGAGAGAGATGCCAGCCACAGCAGGGCTCGCTCACGGGGACTACACACACGGGGAAAGCGTGGAGAGGGAGGAGAAGACAGGTTTGCATGAAACTGCAGAATGTCTTCCATACCACTGCTTCACTCAAGGGTTCTGGCATGGTCTGATCATATTTCCTAGAAAATTGTAGCTTCGGAAAGCTGGGGTGAGATCCTGGGAAAAGGGAAGGCTGTTTGAGGTAACCAAAAACATTTTCAAAGTGTTCAGAGTTATTGTAGGAGGCCGCACAGAGTGGTATTTAGAGCACATAGAATCAGGCCCAGTCCTGGCCTCTGGGTTTTCCACTCTGGAGTCTGTCCTGCCCCCCAAGGTAGTCACTTGGCTCTTTGAGCCTCAGCTGCTTCAGTGGGACAATACAGTCAATCCCAGCACTTCAGGTTATTGGAGACTTAACTAAAACAACACACGGGAAGTGCTGAGCCTGGGTTCAGATCCCAGGAAGGGCCTGATGGATGTCAACTGCTGTGATGTTGAAGCCATCACTTCTACTCCTGAACTGGCTGTGTGGCCTTGTGTAGATTAACTTCTCTGGGCTGTATTTCCTCTTCTATCGAACAGGCAGCATCCCATGTGGCTCCCTTCACATGTTGGGTGGGCGGGAGGAATAAAGGGATAGGTATAAGAAAATTAAAATAGGGTGGAAACTTCGAAATATGCCAAGGTGACAGAGACGCTTATATTAGCGGCAAGGGGCAGCCATATTGGCTCCCAAGATGGCTGAGCGTCCTGTCAGGCAGAGAGAGAAAGTGGTTGCTTTTTCTTAATTGACAATTCCAAATTTAAATTAATGTTCTTCTCAGTGACAACTGTGTCTAGGAAGTGGGCCCTCTTCATCTACCAATGATCGTGTCTGGAAGAATGTCCCTTTTTTTTTTTAAGTGGACCCCACTACCACAAATCCTGCAGAAAACTGGGGGAGGCTGGGCAGGGCTCTGAGCCCTGAGGCCCCCACATTCTTCCTGCTTCCCCACCCCCCCTACCCCTGACATTTTAGATTCAATTAAAAGAAAAACCAAAAAGCATTTTGCCCAACACTTTTTCCGTTAATTTTTAAACCCATCTGTATTCACAAGGAAATTCAATCCACATGTTTCTGATTCATTTACACGTAAATCATCCAAATGTTGTTTTGCAAGAGCCGTATTTTTGCAGCCCAAAAGCTCCTGGAGTCCTTTTCGTAAGCCCTCATAAGCCTTTTTTTCTTAGAAACAGGAAGTTGCCTTTTGCCAAATGCAGACCAACTTAAACCCCCAAAGATTTGGGATCAGTTGCAAATGCAGTCCCCTTAAGATTCAAGTGAGCCCTAGATTTGACTGAAACCTGGGAGCTCGGTATTTCCATCCAAGCCTTAACTTGAGAATTCAAGATGCTGTCGCTGAAAAAGCAAGGAGGTGTAGGGGGTCTTTGCCGTGTGGCAGCCCAGCATGGCTCTGCCTCCCTAAGGATCTTTTCATCCAGGCTGGAGGTGGGTCCAGGCACCCTTATTAAAGACAGCAGGAGTGCGGAAGCCTGTGGCAAAAGAAGCCAGTTTACTTCTGCCTCCTATCAAAATCTCTTCTGTGTGCCTGGCATTAAAGGACAGTTCCCTACAGCATAGTCAGATAGCTCCAGCAGTGTCGATATGAATCAAGGTAAAGGAGAAAGCTGACAAACTTCCGGCTGATTTGGTCGGTGGGTCCAGCCAACATTTATTAGGTGGGCCCTGAAAACATTTCATTTGGATGGCCAGGAAAAAAAAAAAAACAACAATAATCTAAGCAGTGTTTGTGTTCCCGAATAATGTGTTAGATTAATTAGATTAAATCTCCACTCCAGGCCACATTAAAAGGTCTAAAGCAGAGCTAACTGAAGTGCTAGTCCATAGCTAACAGCACTTCTTAATCTGAACTATAAGGGGTGCAAACTCCAGCACCCCCAGACTCCAGGCTGGGAACACGAGGGAGCGAGTCCCCTGGGTGGGGCCGGAGGTGACACTGCCAGGGCGTGCCTTCCTCAGAGTGGGCAGGGGGGCGGCTCCCACCAAACCGTGCCGTGCAGGAATGCCTCCTCGCAGCCCCCCGAGCTCCTGACTTTTAATTTCAAGAGAAGTTGGAGATGTGGATTTTTTTAAATGATGAAAAAGTCCCAGTTTAAACATGTTAGAAAAAAAGAAAGAAGAAAGAGAGAAAGAGAGAAAGAGAGAAAGAGGAGAAAGAGGAGAAAGAGAGAGAAAGAAAGAAAGAAAGAAAGAAAGAAAGAAAGAAAGAAAGAAAGAAAGAAAGAAAGAAAGAAAGAAAGAAAGAAAGAAAGAAAAATTTAAAACAAACATACATATCTGAGGGACTCTAGGGGGTGGGTTTGGCTTAGTTCCACTGTTTCTTTCCTTCATAGGGGCTACACAGGGGTCTCTGAGAGCCTCTTTCTGGAAGAAGCCCATGTGTGTCTACACCCAGGACTCTGTGTGTGACATCAGGGGGTTCAGAGCCCCAACTCTCATTCATGACTCCCTAAACTCCAAAGGCAGAATGCTTACTGATGTGTAAATTGTGGGTAAAGATGTCTGTGGCCTCTGAGCTTAGACACCTCAAAAGAGGCCTTTTTTAAAAAAAATAATAAGGAAATCCCACTGCATAAGTGCATGAACCTCCTGGGTTTTAGGAGCTGTTTTTCTTCTATCCGTGCTGCAATCTGAAGATTAATTATGTGGGTGAGAAGGATGGGTGTCTGAAGCTTGGAATGTTCCAGAAATGTGGCTGGCATGCTGGCTTGCCCAAGTGGGGTCCATGAAGATTCCCATGAGGACACCACACTCCCGGCATCATGTGCCAAGACATCACAAGACCATGGCGGCTCTGCCATTTGCCCCGGCAGCTGAGCGATCATGTTCTCTGATGGAAGCTCAGAGAACTACTGGTTTGAAAGGCAATGTACTTTTCATTCCAGTTGCCACATTTTGATAAGAACAAAGACAAAAATGGAAAGTCTTGCAGAGCTGGGAGAAGTTGGAGTGGGAGGGTGGAATGTGGTCTTCCCCAAACCACCATATGTGTGAGCGTTATGAGCTAATCAGGAACAGGGGGAAGTGGGGAGTAGATCTTGCACAGACCGAAATATGTGCATGGAGAAAAAGACAGTTCCACAGGATTTGGTACCGAACTGCATGATATTTAAAGTCCGAGGGAAGCCCACCAGCCAACCTAAGCCCCAGCAATGTAGGAAAGAAAAATATCAATATATGGGTACTATTTTTTTGAAATCACTCTAGCCTTTCTGCTTTTAATTTTTCACTGCATAGACGACATGGTTACGGATTAGAATCACTACATTAGCGGGGATTCTAATGGCATGTGACAGCCTTCTTGGGGCTGCCTCTTTCTTGATTAATGATGTCGTCTGAGGCCTGAATTGCAGAGAATCCAAGCTCTAGGGACATGAGCTTCAGGAGAAGAGAGAGGACGTCTCCATGATCAAAGGCTAAGCATAGTGGGTGACTCAAGTCTTTGGCCTATGACAACAGACACACTTGGGGGATTGGAATCAGGATTTATCAATGACTTCATCTAGGTAAGAATGGAAGGAGGTATCTCTGCATTGTTCTCTTTAAATCCAAAGTACAGCTGAATTTTCCAAAGTTGTTCATTGGTCTTAATCCACGGAAAAGGATTCTGTAGGCAAGTGAGTTTAGCAAACTAAATGGAACAGTCATTTTTGGTTAACGTCAGGATGTCTCAGAGCCTTTATTTCGTGGATCTCCAAGACAGTGATTCAGGAAGCACCAATTTCTAAATGGGTTTGACCACCACATTCTTATTTTTTTTAACAGGTCATCTTGTGAGGCTCCGGAAGTTCTGAATCAAGAGTTGCTTGGCCCCCAAATTCCTCAGACATATGGTAGATTTTCAAAGGTTTTATCTACCTGGGAGAGAAAGCCAGCTGTGTTCATGGTAGAATCTGAGAATTGTAAGGTACATGCAAAGAAACAGAGCTCGTGACTTCCAGGTAAGGACCTCCACTTCCAACCTTACCCCTGCTTGGTGGCACCTGTGTTGCAGGTGGCTGAGCCACTCACTGGTCACCCCACTTCACCGGGGACTTGTTTGCTTCTGCTCCTCAGCTGAGGTTGACCTTAGTCCTTCTGCTTAAAACACCCTTCTGCCCCATCTCCCCATGCCGAATTCTACTCGCCCCTCACCCGAGGTCTGGTTCAAAGGCAACCTTCTCCATGAGGCTGTTCTGACTTCTCCTGCATCTTTCCCTCCTCTGTACTGCCCCAGTGAGGGTCCCGACTTCTCCCAGAGAGATCTGCCTTATTTACCTGGGTGTCGTGTCTCTCCTAATACAGAGAACGTTTCTAAGGTCAGGATCTTGTAGCCCACAGGGGCCTAACCCAGTGGCTTGACTATGGCAAGGCAATAGGGGCTTAACAAAGTCGGGTCAGTCTGCCCAGGGTTGAAGCCCGCTGCTTCCTTATTTGTTAGCTGTGTGACTCTAGACAAGCTAACTTAGCTTCAAGTCTCGGTTTTCACATCTGTAAAATGGGTATGATGAACAGCCTACCTCAAAGGGTGGCTGGGAGCCAGGCTGGGAACAAGCCCTCCCAGGTCAGTGGCTGCATTCGCCATCACACCACCATGTGAGATTGCCATGCTTATTTCTTGGGGGAATAAACAAGAATGCAGCAATTACAGGAGGCTGAGTGGGGGCTGCTGGAGAAGAGGGTGTTAAGGAGTAGACTTCAGAAAAAACTAGAATGATGTACAATTAACAGAGTGGTAGACGGAGGTAAATAGGCCTTTAAAACACTTAGCCCAAATGTGTCACCTCTAATCTTGTTTCCGTGGTCAATTTGCTTAACCAACTCTTCCTTAAGTCACTTTCCCTGTCTTAATGATCACGGTTCTGAACTAGGCGGTTCTAAATGAAGCAGGAGCTACTGTAACGTTGAAAGGGAGAAGGAGGAATAAAACACTTCAGAGATCTTTACCCAATTCTATAACCTGCCTACGTCCCTTTTTATAATAGGCATGGAGTTTAGAAGGTTAAAAATGAAGGAATTCTAGAAGCCCACCGCCAGAATGTCACTTTTCTCAGGGGAAACTCCTCTTATGGCCCAAGCAAGCGTCAAAAAAATGGTATGGAAAAAAATGGCATTGGCCTGAAAAACTGGTATTGGCCCCCGAAGGCTGGGTCCTCCTTGCCTTGCCTGAGATGGTATACAGACCCCCAAGCTCGGGCCAGCTGTGAGTATGCCAGTGGCGTGGACAGAAAGGAGAACAGCTAAAGTAAGATGGCCTCCGTTCATTTGACTTTAATTTCTCTACTCATATTCCCACCACTAACATCTCCTCGAAGGTAGGGAGACTTGATGCATGGTAGCGTTGGAAAAACAAAAACCACTTTGTTTTTTTTACCATGCTCAATAGTCAAGAGCATGGAGCAGGGGAAAGTCCAGAAGAATCTCCATGAGACATGGTCCCTCAGAAGGGCAGGACGGCGTCCTTCCTAACAGCACATCCAGCCCAAAGTGCTGCACTGAGTCAGACTTCAAACCCTCTTCGCTGTGCGGCTCTGCGTTAGAAAAGGTGACAGGAGGCAGAGACCGGGCTGCTAATCAGAGATCGGGGATGTGCTGGACGTCCTGTCTTGAGGCCTTTGCACCATTACTTAAAACACACGCACACCTTTCTGTCTCCAGATCTTCCTGAAACCCAGGAGGTCCTAAAACCAGAGCTCAGTTCCTATTTCCAGTCCCTGCCTGTCCCCTGCTAGGTCCACACAGCATGAGAAGACATCAGGCCACGCTGGGGGCTGCCCAGTGATGTCACTGTCACCCAGGGATATAGCCACTGACCTCCCAACAGCACGGGCCTGCCTTCTCCTCTCAAGCGCTAGCCCTCAACTGTTGATTACAAATCCCCATCCTGTCTTGTTTCTGATGTCAAATCTATGTATAACAAAAGCTGAGATTGGCAGCTCAAGACTGGTAAATTTCTGCTTTCCATATGCATGATCATCACTTAAACCTATTATAAGTTATGTTTGCTCGAGCGTTACACCCCTGGTTTGCCAGCTGGAGGTGTACCGAGGGTGACAAAGCATTATTTTTAGCTGGAAAGGAGTCAGACCTGCAGGAATGGGCGGCCCCCCTTTTGCAGGGGGTGGGCATTTTCTATCAGGAATAACATTGCCTGCAGCGCGGTTCCAGGCAGGCTGCTCTCCCCTTTCCTCTAACAGGACGGATTTGCTAGTGTATATTAGAGTAAGTAGCATGGGCATGCTCTGCTGGGCACTGACTTTCTCTGTGCTGGGCAGATTTGACAACAGGTTTCTGAGCTCTTCTGGAGGCAGAAAGACAAAGTGATTAGGTGCCAAGGCTCTGAAATCACATGGTTTGGGTTCAAGTTTGGTTCTTATCGTTTACTCACTGCGTGGCCTCCAGCAGACTGAGCTTCAATTTTCCCGTCTATACAATGGGACTAGTACTGAAACCATAGGGTCTTTAGGAGAATCACCATATGCTTACAACAGTGTAAAGAGGTATGTGTAGAGAAGTGTAAATATGCATGGACTTATACATAAGAAACGGGCTGAGAAATCCCAGACTTGTGCACTGCTCTCCTGACCCCTCTATACCTCCATTTGACCTGCACCAGTGAGGACGTAGACCCTGCCGGGGTTCACATGCATCTCCGACAGTTACTGGCTGTGTCTGTGTGTGGGTATCTGCCCTCTTTGTGCTTCCACTTTATCATCTGCACAGTGAGGATCACAACAGCTCTCATACTTCAGGAAGTTGTGAAGATGAAAGTAGATAATGTCTGTTCTGTGCTTAGCACATTCGATCAGTGCTCAATAAATGGTGGCTGATTGTTTTACTGACCTTGCTTTCCTCCCAGCTGCCTTAGGAATCCTGGGTAAGTTTTTTGTACCCCCTTTGAGTAATAGAGTACTTGGAAGACAGAAAGAGATGAAATGAGTGAGCCTGAGCTGGAAGCCAGCTTCTGCCACGTACTAGCTGTTGAAAGCAAGCAATTGCATAACCTCTCTAACCTGTAGTTTTCTCATCTGTAAAGCAGGGGCATTGAGTACCTATCTCATAATCCTTCTGGGGGCAAAAAATAAGATTGTATAGGTTAACACTACCATGTAGTGCTGAGCACGTAAAAAAAAAATGTAAGAAATGGTGGACCCATTTTTAAAGAGTGGGTAATTTTATTCTCAGTGAATTAAAAGGTCATCTCAACTCTTGACAATTCTGTTGTTTTCCATATTCCATAGTGGGAAAGTGCTTGAGCAAGTTTAAGATGAACCAGAATGAATACCCTAGTGGTATTTTGGGGTTTCTGGATTCCAGTAGTATGTCTTTGACCTTTGGTCTACGATGCTTTGACTTCAGGGTTCTGATCGGGACACGGCTCACCCCCTCCCTGTTACCAGCCCCACATGCTTTCACTCTGACACAGGCAACAGGAAGGGGAGGTTGAGTGACCTACTTCAGGAGAAGGCCAGTCCCGGAAGAGACCCTGCAGTGGAGAACTTGCTAGAGTCCACAAAAGACTGATCTGATAATGGCAACAGCAGGGAACGAGAGAGGAGAAAAGAGAAATGACGGCATTAGTAAGTGGAAGCAGTATTCCCAAGCAAATCCTGGGCCTGAGCAGAATTGCTGGAGTTGGAAAGAGGACTTCTCAGGCAACTCCAGCAGAGGGATGAGTAGAGACAAGGGCCAGGGGCCAGGGCCGAGGAAAGGAAACACAAAAGAACAGAAGAGATGAGGGCAGAGAGAAGCAGGAATGCTCACAGCTGATCCCCTCGGCGACAGTGATGTATCTGCTTCAGGCCCTGGGAGGGCGAGGTCAGGGCGCTGGATCTGGGTTGGCAGGTGGGGCCCGGGGCTTACCTTGCAGGCTGTTCCCGTTGGTGCTGGTGCAGGTGGGAGGGGGAGAGGTCTGGGGTCTGACGACTGGCGCGAAAGCACTCTTCTGTTTCACGGCGGAGACCATGTTGGCTGGTGAGAAGGAGAAGATGCCCGAGGAGCTGCTGCAGTTGGAGGGGAGGCTTGTGGAGGAGGCCATGGTGGGGCTGGATGGCACTACTGAGACAGGCAGTGGGAAAGGAGAAATCAGCACCTCGAATGGCATTCTGGGACGAGGAAGCCCAGAGCCAACCCCTGCCCGGCCACCCTGCTCCTCCCCGCTCAGGCTGTCCTTCTGGCATGAACCCTCCCTGAACTCGCAGGATCCTGTCCACTTTCACCATTTGGTACTTAGCATGTGCCCCCTTTCATTGTTGATGATCGTTTGTGTGTTTATTGTGCCAGGCGGGGTGCTAGGCACCAGAGTTGTAGGTAGCATTTGCCACCAGGGGAAAATGACCCCTTATAATCAGCCCAAAGCACTACCCAATCCAAACACACTGAGTGCTTTATGGAGCAGAATGCAGAGCCACCATCCTCAGAGTTTTCCAGGCCAGGAAACAAACCCTCTTATAAGGGATGGAGTAGCACAAAATAGTGACAAAGGCGAGCAAGGCCAACTCAGCAGAGCCATGAAAGGGAGATCAGAGAAGGCTTCACAGAAGAGGTGTCAGGGGTTGCACTACAGGGTAGCACCTGTGCTAAGGTTCTAGCAAAGGGGCTGGGGACAGGAGAAACAGTAGGAGGCCAGCTTGAGAGGGCCTGGTTGCTGCTGCAATGAGAGGTGTGAGGAAGAGGGGTGAGTTGGAGGCAAGGCTAGGATTCCAACTTAAGGCTCTGGCAGGTGGTGGTTCATTTGTGTTCCATTTCTCCCCCATGAGGCTGTGAGTTCCTTAAGGATATGACGGTACCATAATACTGCACGACATGACTATAGGGGGGAAGGAAGCCGGAGGGATAAACAGACTGCCACATGCAGCATTTGTGGACCATGCAGAACTACAAGTCCAAGTTCTAAATTCTTTATATCCCCCTTGGAGCTGTACATAAATGTTTGTGAATTAATAAACAGTAGGATAGAAGCCTTATGTAAATACTCGCAGTCTGGTAGTAGTGGGGTTGCAGATAATTAATGATGGAAGAACTTTGGTGATTCAGAGAGAGAGAGAGAGAGAGAGAAAACCTAGTAGCTTGGGGCTATGAAAGAGTTTGGTAGATATACATTCTCCACCAACTGCAGTCCTTAGCCTGGCCTCTCGTCTTTGCTCATGGCTAATAATCGTTAGGGTTACTTTAGGAGACAGAGATTTTGCACATACTAAGTCAAGGCTAATGTTTTCCTACGCTCATTTTCTACTTCTTCCAATTTCTGCAGAAAAGTATGTATTCTGTCTGGTGATTTTCGGGCACTTAATTTGAATTCTAGGCACTTGCTTCTACTTTATTATTTTTCACCTTATGTAACAAACATTACATATTGCTTTATCGTTCACAAGAATCTCCCAGTCTTTTTCATCTTGTCATTGGCAAGACAACCTTAAGTCGGGGCGAATCACTGAGCAAGCGAAGGGAGCTGAGACTCAAAGTAGTTTAGCTGCTTGCCCAGGGGCCATAGCTAGAATGCCTGGAGCCAGGAATCTGGCCCAAGTTCAGAGCTCTTTCCACTCTGCTGCCCAGCAAAAGAAACAGATCTCCAGGGGGAAGGCTTCGTTCCCATGAGCCCACCAGAGTCCGAAGAGCTGTTGGGGTGGCCCTTATCCTTGGCCTGCTGGCTTTGGAAGGTTAAGGAAGTGGGAATCCAATCGGTCACAGGCAGCAATTGCCATTGGGGGAAATGACCCCTTATAAACAGCCCAAGGCACTACACAATCCAAACGCACTGAATGCTTTATGGAGCAGAACACAGAGCCGCCATCCTCAGAGTTTTCACAAACATTTTCTAAACTGTACTTTTTCTTTTAATGAGGCCAGCATTTTTATACATCTCTTAGGATTTGTAAATGTGAAAATACGTTCAATAATAACACCCATTTAAATTGCAAAACTCCTGCACTGGAGGTTTGATTTTTAAATATTCGTAGAGTTGAGATCCTGCTGGTTCACTGAGGAAGGCAATTAATCTCGTTGGCAAATGCGATCATTATGTGTATTTAGAGGTGGGGAGTTTGGGGAGGTGGTTACGGGAGGAAGGGGTGAAATACTGTCGAGCAGCTCCATTTGTTATAACATTATTAGTTATCAGCTACCACACCAGAAAGTATGTTCACCGGTGGAATGTCTTATTTTATATTTTTATTCCATTGGAATTTTTCAACATGAGTGGTTTATGAATAATTAAACATTGTGGAGGCAAAAATTCAAATCAACTGGGCTTTGTGTTTATTGTTTTATTTGCATTTATGCAGATAAAACCGTCCCATCTGAGAGCCTATTTGAGAATTTAATACTATATTTGTGAGCGCTGAGGAAATCAATTAATGGAAATGAAATGTTCGAAGTTTCACAGCCTGACAGAAGCAATCTCAAGCTGAAGTCACTGAGTGTCTGCATGGGCTTGAGAAGGAGAGCATTCCAAGCCCCTAAATTGAATTGCCACCATATAGCAATTAGTTTATTGATTTAATTAAGAATGCCACCTTTTAATTTTCAGGTCATGATCGAAACATTTTCTGATTGAATAGATGGGGGAACACTGAAATGATGGATCTATGAGAAACAATCTTTCAATAAATCAAAATCTAATGTGAAACAGAATCCCCAACATTGACTTGTGAGCAGACAGACATAAATCTATGCAGATTATTTGGGAAATTTTGAATGTTCGATGAACTGCGGATTCCAAACAAATGAAATGAGAAATATGGAATTTCGTGTCACCTTAGCAGAAAACCTCACCCAGAAAGTAAAAGTCCCTAAGTATACTTTCAGAAATAACTTCTCTTAAAGGCCAAGAGTTAGCTTTCTTCTTTCAAAAATTTTCACCATGAGAGAAGGCATGATTTTTAGCCGAGACTCTATTTTAAAAATCATAAATACTCTTTCATTTAATGATACACTTTCTATCCTTCCACAAATGTTTGGCCACATTTTACACATAGAGTCACCTACAATGTCTAAGATGAACTTAGTTACCCATGTAAAAATCCCCAGAGGGAAATAAAGAGATTGTGAGGACATGGCTTATGACATTTTATACATAAAGGTGCCAGTTTGCTGAGGTTCTTTAGATGCAATATAAATGCCGTACCAAAAAACACGTAAGGCAAACTTCCTTAAGACAGGGACAAGACACCAAAGAATGTTTCTTGTGTATGTATGTGGTTTTTTTTTTTTTTTTTAGTTTGCCAAATTTTGGGAAAAAATAAAGTGTGTTTTTTTATTTTTTTTTATTTTTTTAAGTATGCACCAACACAAAAAGAGGAAAAAATCCAAGCATAAAAAATAAAGGAGTCCTATTCCTAAAGGGAGAGAGAGTTTAAGTTTTACTATTGTTACTACACTACACCTCCACCACCACTTATTATCATCTTTAGATTATTATGGTTATCACTTAGATTTATTGAATGTGCCTCTCATGTGCCTGGCGTCAGGGCAAGCTCATTACCTGCATTGTCTTATCTATGTCTCACAGTACTGGATGGGTGTGTGCTAGTTCCTTTCCCATTTTACAGATGAGCAAATCAAGACTTGGGGAGGAGATGAACTTGCCCGGGGCCATCAGTTAGCAACTGGTTGAAGCAAGAGCCAACCCATCTCCCTCTGACTCCATGTGTGGGCTCTTGGAATGATCCCATCTGGCTGTTTTTGGTTGCAGCTGGGGAGACTTGCTGGGAAGGAAGGTGAGCAAGAGACAGCAGAGATTTCTGTTGGAGGTGAGGGTGTCTTGAGTAGCATCACTAAAGGCAGGGCACTGCCTTGCAGGGTGGGAGCCCTCAGGCCGAGGAGCCCTGCCCAGTGGGCCACACGGCAGGATGCTCAGATCTCCCAGGGGGAAAACGTGCAGGAAGGCAGGACACACAACTCTACTTACTGGCGTAGGGCGAGTTGGCAGCTGAGCCGTTGAGGAAGGTTGGGGAGCCGCCCAAATTGGACATGGCGGCAGAGCCGTATCCGTTCATGCTCGTGGTGACGGAGTTATAGTTGGTCTGCTGGGGAGTGGTGCTCGGCACGTACCCGTGTGGTGATACGCTGCTTGAGTTGCGGGTGAAACCTGAGGGGTGGGGGCGAAACCGGGGGTGAGGGTGGCATTCAGATGGGGGCCATCCTTTGGAAGACTCGGGGAAAGGGAGGTCTCTGTTTCTTGCCCCCTCGCCACAACCCAGAAGGAAGGGATTGGGTGATTCATGTGCGTGGGTTGGTGGTGCTAGCTCTGTGATTAAAATGGAAAGCGAGCAAAAGACACATTTCTTAGGAGATCATAAATACTTAGCAGGGCCGTGAGAAGTGGCAATGCAGGCCTATAAATTATCATTTTGGAGTAGAAATAAATCCCGACCGAAGAGATGTACCCTGGAGTGAACAGGTTCCTATTCCCTGGGCAAGAATGATGTGCTTTGGCCCCTCAGAACTTTAATTCCATCCCTCTTTGCGATCTGTCATTCACGGTTTATGGTGAAAAGTCAAATGTAGACGTGGCTAAATGCATGCACCCTTTCTAGCCCCCTGCACTAGATTATCAGACGTGACAGTTGGAACCAAAATTCTACAGTAACATTAGAGACACACAAACTCAGCATCTCCCCTTTGGGACGAACATAATTTTTGAAAATAAAATTGTTTTAGGACAAATGAATGTGGAATGGGGAGCTTGGGGTTGGAAAGGGTCAGGGAGGACAGGAGGGAGGAGAAGGGCAGCTTCTGACCCTGATTGGTGGCTTGTGATGCCTCGGAGACATTGACGGCCAGTTGTCCACTGAACGAATTCACGCCCATCATCCCTGCGTGGACCGAGGTGTTAGCGAGGGCCGGGAGCTGGTTGTGGTTGCGTGGGACGCTGTACAGGGCCTCTGCAATGTCTGCCGCTCTCTTCAGAATAATTTCCTGAAAAGTCAAAGGAATATCCCCTTTACCTACCCCCAGTCATACTCCCCACGGTACCATTCTGCAAGTACCAGGCACTTTGCTCAGGGCTTTCAATGGTTCACTGCTTTCAGTGGTTAAGCCAATAAACCTGTGATGTCAGTCTCACACCATCATGTTCGTATCACAAATGGGGAAACTGAGGCTGGGGAAACTGAGGCTCGGAAAAGTGAAGACCTCACCTAAAAGCACTTAACCTATGCAAGAACAGAGCTGAGATCCATTTGACCTTGAAAGCCCATTATCTTAACCATTCCTTCATACGATAGCACCACGGGCAATGACTCATAGAACTCTGAGGTTACCAAAGAAGAGAGCAAGAGAGAGTGAGAGCGAGAGCGAGAGCGAGAGCGAGAGCGAGGGAGAGAGAGAGAGAGAGAGAGAGAGAGAGAGAGAGAGAGAGAGAGAGATTGACTCTGCAATTCATCTCTTCTGTTGATGTTAAGGGCAGGTTGTAGATGACTACCTGAGTCCCTGAGTATTAATGGGACTGTGTCCCCCAGACATTGACTTAGGCGACACAAAAAAAAGAGGTGAATGATTTGTCACACTCACAGTTTCCTAAGCAATTTGAATCCTAAACATGGAGTTCCTCTACGAAATAGAAGCAGACAATATTATTCAGGCCTTGTTACACCTTTTAGAAGAAATGAAACCCCTATTCTCTTCCTAAATTTGCTTGAGAACTTGAGAGAAATAAAATAAAGCGCTGGTAACTCTCCTCTTCAATTATGAAGTACATTTCCACTAAAGATTAGTTTTAAATGGAGTACCTTTTCTTGCAAGGAAAATGATTCAGTAGAAAAGGCAATAAAAGATTTACAAAAGAGAGAAGGACTGAATAGCCTTGCAACATGTTATAGCTGAATTACTTATACTCTTAACTCATGCACATGGCTTTTCCATTTTTTGTGCTTTCTCAAGACTTACAAGAATGAATCTGAGATCTTCAGTCGAATGTGGAAGTCCACACGGGTTAGAGATCCAGAATGCTCACCTGGTTGTTGTGTGGCATCCCATACAGCGCTTCTACCAGATCTGCTGCTCTTTTAAGTATTACTTCCTGTCAAGAGAAAAAGCAGATACAATCCTTTGAGTGAAGGTTACAGTCCTCAGAGTGCTGTTATCTTTCCGCATGATCAATCAGGTCCCTCTGGCCATCCTTTGCCAAGGCACTGCTAGAAAGGCAGGAGCATGGAGAACCCCAGAGTGGCGTGCAACCGCCAATTCATCCCTGTTCACATACAAACAAAAGGTGAGTATCATGGGTACCACAAGATAAAATACATCGCTCCATAGTGCGCCATAGGCACGAAAAAGCACTCATATGTTTATTGCTGAATACAATTCTGTGGTCATTTACTAGATTACTACAATCAACGTCATTCAGTGCATGTTATGAATCCCCAAGATGTGTTTATTTTGCACTTAATTGCTTATTCCAGGAACCCTGACCTTATCAGACAGGTCATTTTCGAGGGATTTCCAATCAATCATCAGTTACTAGAAGCATGTAGCATTAAACTTCTTTTGTTTATCTCCCTTGTATGGCAGACCCATGATATAAGGGGGTGATGCACTAAACCCACATACTAAGGCAATGCACTGTTTGTCAAAGGCTCTTACAAAAGGATTCTCCCATTCCCAGAAGCCCCCTCTATAGCGATTTTCATGGCTAGCAGACTCTGCTTCTTTTATAGCAATTCTTTGCTATTTCAGTATTGTTTGTCATTTGCTCATTCAATCTCATCCTATATATATGCCCTGCTGCTCATCTCAGTTGAAGAAAACATATCTCCCTCTTTTCATTTAGACAGGCTTCCATATTTAGTTTGCATGCTTGGTTCTAATAATACCGGGTACTCTCCAAAAATGCATGTGGTGGTCATTTTTTTCATTCTAATCAAAAGAATCACTCTCTCTTCATTTTGTCCTAATTTTCTGCAGATTCATTCATACTAGAATGTGGGGGCGGGGAGGGAGCAAAGTTAAGCTAGATGTATATAACAATGGGGGCTTATCAGGGAACCAAACCTAAGGGTGTGGTATGATTAGCAGAGGTTATTTGCAGGAAAATATGTTTACCACTTTTTGCTGTAGGTAAAGTTTCAAACAGAAGTTTAACTTTAAATATTTTACACAATAGCTTTCTGCATGGAGGAGCAGTGCTGTTCAATTTTTATATACTGCAGACGCTGATCAGAAAATAGGGATATAATTGCATTCATTTTGCTGTCACCATAGCCTCTTCAAAAATCCTTGAACAACTCTTGAAATGACAAGCTTTTAGATACATATTAGCATTTTTCAATTTTAAATTCTCTATAATATAAGATAAAATAGTTGTCATACTACAGTAACTACTTATGACATATCTAATGTCCTAAATTCAAAAATGAGATAGAGGGGTTTTCAGTTCTCAATAAACATGAATGCTTACCTTAAGCTGCTAGAACCCCTTTATAAAACAGTTATTTTTCAAGTAGGGAGTAAAAAGCATTATCTAATCAATGAGGTTTGAACCAATACATCTGAAATCATTTCTTTATTTTTTAATGCAAGCTACAAGATAATTTACCACTTTTTGTTTGCAGTATTGTCTGACCACAGCAGTTAATAATTTACTACAGTGTGGGCACACTAAACCCTATCCCCGGATCAAATTCAGCTTGGGTTGCTTTCACTAAAACCTCATGGCTTTATCTGGCTCTCAGGAAAGATTAAAACAAAACAAGATTAAGTTAGTTTATTTACTAAGATTTGACTTCTCTGGGTCTACGTTCATTTATTTCTTCAAATAAATATTTATACTAGTGTTTGGGCTTGGCAGAGAAGGTATTATTCTTTCTTTCCATTTGAGGGCAAAACAAAACAAGTCCCGTTTCTCAAAAGCATGATGAGGTGCAGGAAGAAACTGAACTTCACTCCTGTGACACTATCATTGGGGACTTAGACCAGTGCTCCTTATTTTAATTAATTACATGGAACCAGGGAGGAGGGAAGTTTCAAAATTAAATTCCATCTTTGAAGTTTTTTGTAAGCCTGACAAAATTTTGTCAATCAGTGTATATTGCATATTTTAATCTTATCTATTGTTGGTGATGAAGTTTTTCAATGGCATAATCCACTTACTTCTCTTTCTCCTTATTTTGATATGCTAGCCGGAGCTCTCATCACCATTTAATCTTATAAAAATGAAACATGTGAATTTTGTTTCCTAAAGTTGCATCCGCCTTTGAACTCATTATGCCAGAGCATGTCTTTCCATTTAGTACATTGTCATAGGTGGGCCACCAGCACAGTGTCGCTTTAGGCCAGCATTCTTGGATTTGAAGAGAGCGAACCCAGATTTCTTATCCCAGAAGTGACACCCTTAAGTGATATTTTCCCTATTTTAAAATATTCTTCACTGCAATACAACCTTTAAGGGCTTAAGGGAGACTTGGTTTGGCTTTGCCAATGTGATTCAGCTCCCATTAGTTATTTCTGCAAATAGGATGGAGAAAGGAAATTTCTGGGCCCTCTATGAGTTAGTGCAACGGACCTGCAAGGTGCTTGGATTTCGGTGACCAGAAAATTGCTCTCACTCCATGTCATTACGCTCCCAGTGAACTAGCCCCCAAGCGTGTTTGTGTTGGGGATCTAATATATTGCCTTTCAATCAGAGCTGAGAGCCACTGAACACACAGACAGAACATGACGAGCAGGTCAGGAAAGCAATAAAGATTTTACAGAGCTGTCCAAGGTGCTAAATTTACTCAATAATGGGTTTGGCACCATAGTGTTAACCTCTCATTTACTACCAGTTTGAGGGACTAAATTGAAGTAGCTGACTTCATTTACCTTGAAATGTATATTTTATGACATTATGTAAGTAGATTGAAAGGGCACTGCAGTTTTAACAATTTAAAGGCTAAAGCATGTTTAAGATGAAACTTGAATATTTATTGTATATTGCACTTAAAGTATATAGAATGTTAAAATGTATTGATTAAATTTGTAAAAGGCATTATAAAAATGACAGGTAGTATAAAAGATGTATGCCTTTTAAAATCAAATTGATAGTGTATGCTATCTCTTCTGTGGTCACAAGTGTAATTTTTTTGCAGTTTTAGATGGTAATTTGAAAAATCTGTAATTTCACATTAGGAAATGATTGAGTCTTGGATGTTAAAAAAAGAAATTTCCCATAAGGGGAAAAGAGCTGGATGTTTCATATAATCTTTTGTCTCTAAAATTGTTCTTAAAGTCTTATTTTTTGTGGCATTAGGCGGGAGCACAGTATAAGGATCCTTCCATTCTAATATGCAATTTTAATATTTCTGAAAAGAAAGAGCACTTGACTAGCACTAATATCTAATTTTTCAAGGCATTTATTTGTCAGGAGAGATTTTTTCTACTTTTCATAATGTTTAAAATGTCTCCCTACTTGCAGTTTTAAACATGAGGGTAGATATTAGACTCTTCCAAGATAATTAATCCTATCCTTGGATTTTAAAAAAATCCCATTTGGGAATTAAAAAGACAAATACTAGTATCCTAAATATTGAAAAGCCCCAGAGTCTCCTTATAGAGGTAATGCTTGTTCTCCAATCTACATCCTGAGTAAGATGACTTTTCTTTTTACTGCCTTGGATTTTTTTTTCTCTCTTAAAGATACAGAAAGTGTTTACTCCTTAAAGACAACAACAAGTTTTTGCTGATCTGTTTCATCTCACAATTCAAACCTGGCTTCACCTGTCTTGCTATGACCATCAGTTGATGATTATGTGAGTAGAGATCCGCAGAGAAAAAAAGTGAATACATTATGTTAAATCTATTTAGAATCTACAGAAATACTGGGGAGACTCAAGGAGGACCAGGGTTCCACGAAACAGTTTAAGTGTAATTGTTATGGTTTTTACCTATGTTTTGGCAGCTTTACAATAAAAATGCTGAATGGGCTAACAGATACAAAGAGAACATTCAATTTACTTTCTATGTTGCAACGCAATTAGCAAAGTAACATTTGAGCTTCTTGTTGCCTCAGTTGTAACATGTGGATATTATTCTCCAGCTTTCAAGGTACATTATCTTCCCAAAACTGAGCAATAGGTTTCTATGAGGGTTACAAAAGATTGCCCCCAGCATCTGGTCTTTCCATCTCTATCCAATCTTGTCTCCCAAGGCATCTGAAGAGTTGCTCCCCATTCTCGTCCTCCCCAGCCTAGAACTAAACCATTTGGCTCCTTCCTGTGTCCACACCTTCACTCCTTTGGCCTTTCCTTTTTTGGGCATGCTGGCTTCAATCTATGCCCACTTATAATGCTCCTCCATCCTCTAAAGCCTGGTACAGAAGGTGGCGATGGTGGTATAGTAATGAAAGAGATAAATCTCATTTATTGGAAGTGGAACATCAACTCATTCAATCTTAACAGAGAGCCCCTTGAGGTACCATGTGTGTCACCATTTGGCAGATAAGGACACTGACACTCACTGTAGTCAGCTAAGTCTCCCTCAGTATTACACAGCTGACTAGTGGCTGAGCAAGGATTCAACCCCAGGCTTGTTAGATATCAGAGCCTGAGCTCTTGAGAATTATACTATTCTATCAGAAATGATTCCACCTACACTGATACACTTCAACTCATTGTTTCCCCTATTCCTCTGAAAAACAGTGTGGACCATCTGCACGACCCAGCACAGCAGAGAAATACATGCTGGAAGGTCATTTGCTCTGATCTGAACTGTGTTCGTCTTCACACTTAAGCTAGACGGTAGGCTCTTTGAGGCCATAGATGTCTTAATCTCCTTCTCTAAGCCCCTAGCACAATGTTCAGCCAACCACAAATCTTTAGAGATTCTTGTTGAAGAGTTTACTCTAAGATAGTCACTGATTTTAAAAAGTGCATGCTTAATTTACATGATGAAATGACACAGTCATATATCTGGCATATGTTATAAAAGCAGAAGACTTAAATTTGGTGTTCCATTTGGCTACAGGCTTTTTAATCCAATATATAAATTCCCAGAGGACAAGTTTTGATCACTGTGAGTTGTTTTTTTTTTTTTTTTTTTTCGTTT